TGTGCAACCAGAATGGCGGGTGCATGTCCTGTTCGCGACATTCTTAGCTATGATCGGAATGGGGCAGCTGGCTAAGCATTCAGGCCTTATGGGCACAGCGTCAGTTGAGGGGTTACGGACATTCGTGTTCAACATCGCACTTCCATCGCTATTATTTGTGTCCACTTGGCGTATACGCGTCACGCACGAGCTCCTTATTGGAATTCCTTGGTGTGTATTGTTGCATTGCCTGTGGGCTGCTTTGGCATATGCAGTGCACGCTAAGCAAGATGCGCAGAAACGGGCGTGGTTCGTTCTCACTGCCCAGGGTTGCTTTTTGGGCTATGTCTACCCGTTCGTAGCATCCGCTCCACCCGAAGTAGCTGCTCTTATCGTAGGCCCTGCCCTCATATGGGACATTGGTGGAAACATGTGGATGTGTCTTTTTTGGCAGGATTTCATTGTCGGTCGCTTAGCAAGAAACGCTCAAGTGCATTGCCCTACCTCAGCTCTTCCGCCAACAGTCATTGGCGCGGACGAAGAAAACACAGCGGTAGCAATCCAGCTAAAAGACCAAGCGGGTGTTGCACATGAGGCAGGGCATCCTGTGCACCGCGATCCATCTGGCAGAAATGACGGCTCGGAGCAGCTGCATTTTAGGCCATGCGTGCGCAACGATAAGACAAATCCGAAGACTAGGGGCCGATCACACAGTTTCTCAGGGGACACACGAACGGAGGAGGTTGTCAAGCGCCATATGAAGACCAACGGCATGCGCTTTGAGGAGTTGGAGGTTCAAATTCTTGAATGGTTGCCCCAGCAGCGTCAGTCTGAGCCGTCTCGGGAGGATGGTCTGCTCTCCGACGAGCATAAGGTCGCATTGTCCGTCGACGAAGGCATTGTTACCCGCAGATGCAGATTAGCTGCTCAGATAGTTGCCCAAAGCGTTGCCCGCCCTATTCCTGCAGCAGCTTTGTCTGGGCTTCTGCTGAGCTCCTTGGGTGTGCCCCTGCATCCTTGGCTGGAGGGATTCATCGGCACCTATGCCGCTGCCTTCACTCCGCTCATGTTCTTCATTATGGGGTGTTTTCTGCGCTTAGATCCAAGGCAGATGTCAGTCGATGTTTTGGTCGCCAATGCATTCCGCACGGGTATCTGTCTGATCATGATGCTCGTCATCACTATCTTGCCAATCAGCAGGCACACTAGGTTCACATGGACGCTATCGGTGTGGTCGCCAATGACTAGTTTCACACTGGTGCTCTCTACTAAGTACAACTTCGACGAGGCTCTCACAGTGTGTAGCATGCTGTTCTCACAGGTGCTATCTTTCTTTGCTATGTGGCTCACCACTATCGTGGCAGGAGACGGCATTCTTTAACTTGAAGGGTAACACATCATTCAACAACATGTGTTCAGGCGTCCTACGATGAAGCCGATGTGCCGGCATGCCGCAAGCTCGTGTGATGTTTGTTGCCACTCGTCGATTACCATCCCCCTTTGATAAAACTTAACCTTCCAAGACGGCCCAGAGAGGGCCCAAGAGGAACCCGAGAGCGCCTCGATACGTCTCTTTGGTTGAGGCCCATGCCTGTGCGATTTGGATGCATGACGGCCCAAGAGGGCCATCCGGGAGGCCCGAAGGTGGCCCTACCACATCCCCAACCCGGCTATCTGAGGACGGCACCTTCGTATCGTCGGATCAGACAGATCGGCCCCGCCCCTACCCGCAGCTCCCATGCCACCTACCTGCCCTCCTTCATTTTCTCTCTCATTCTCTGTCTGTCTCTCTCTCTCTCTCTCTCTCTCTCCGTCTCCGTCTCTGAATATACCTGCTACCAACTCTCCTCTTGCGCGGCGTTGCGGCCTGCGGATTTTCTAATCACGTCGGGGCGCACAAGTTTAGCCGTAGCGTTGGGCATTTAGACCGCGACGTCGGGATTTCGATCAGACGGCTTCCTCCTCGAGCCACCCGGCCAAGCCCTCACATCCCGAGAGCCGGCGGCGCCGAGGGGCATCGACCGCGCAGCCTTGGGGCCTCTGGAGCTGAAGGGCTTCGGGCAATAGTCCGTAGAGAGGCAGTCCTCGCGGATTTCCGTCTCGCGCTGTGCCTCTCTTACAGCAGACCGACACTGAGCAGCCCTTTACAGAACGGGCTTCAACCCGTGTTTACGCGAGGATCGTGCTCCTTGAGACAAGCGTTGAGGCATCATATCAATCTCTGCGAGTGTTACATGCGCGCGTGGATCACAGCGGACACAGGAAGTCTCAATGACTCATCATCCTGTCAACTTTCCGCGCAAGGGCTTGCAGCCTTTTGAGGAACGCATTCCGAAGCGTACGATGAACGTGTTCCCCGTCAGGTTCGCTACGTACAGGCTGTTAGTCAGCACTTGTGTGTGCTGCTTGACCTTGGCGACTTCAAGTTTGCAGCTCAGGTGCACCCCATAGAATGCACCACACGGGTCGTTACGAAGGCTGCCCACCGAGTGAAATAATCCACAGTTTTGGGGTCCACGGTTTGTATACACATATGAACACACATCATAGTGTTAAGTCGGGCGTGTCCCTCTACTGGAGGAACATTCAGGAATAGTCAAAAATAGTCTGGGGACGATGTTTTGACTATTCTCGATTATGTTTTTGTGTATTGCGAAGGCCTTACGGCCGCTGCCGCCGACCCTGCATGGCGACGACGACGACCACGAGCGGTCTCGGGGGCCTCTTGGGGGTAGTTTGGGGGCCTCTTGGGAAGCTCTTGGGGGCCGCTTGGAAGCCTCGTGGGGGCCTCTTGGGGCTTCCTGGGGGTCTCTTGGGGGCTTCTTGGGGCTTCTTGGGGGGCTTCTTAGGGACCTCTGGTGCCCTCTTGAGAGCTTCTCAGGCCGAGGTCTCGAAATGTCCGCTCGGGTCCCCCGTCTGGGCTCCTCCTTGGAGCCGTCTTGGGGGCCTCTTCGGCTGTCTTGGAGGCCTCTTGGTCGGTCTTGGGGCCCTCTTGGGCCGTTTTGGGCCTCTCTTGGAGGCCTCTTGGGCCATCTTGGGGCGGTCTTGGGGGCTTCTTGGCATGTCTTGGGCGTCGGGAAGCTGACAAGGCGAGAATGCCGAAATCTTTCAACAAATTAGGGGGAATCGATGATTTTTGCCCGGGCCCTCTTGAAAGTCCTCTTGGAGGCCTCTTGGGGCGTTTTGGAAACCTTTTCAGCCGTTTGGAGGCTATTTTGGCAACCTGGACCGATACTTCGGCGATTCGGGGCCCTCGAGGTCCGTCTTGGGGGCATCTTGGGGCAGTTTTGCCGCGTCCTGCGGCTTTTCCTGGCCGCCCAACCGCCCGAGGGGGAGTCGTTTGGTCCCCGGGACCCCCTGGGGACCCTCTCCTGGGACCCCCCAGGGGCCCCCTCCCGGGACCTCACCCCCGGGACCTCCCCCCCCCGGCGGGGAAGAGATCAAAGGGAGGGGTCTTCCCTTCGACTCAACTACAACGTTGCTCAATTTCGCTGTGGCTGGCGCGCTCGAGGAGGAGAACCCGGTGAAAGCGGCGACGGGCCTAGGGAAAAGAGGGGAAGCGAGCGGCGAAGGCGACGACGACGACAACGACCGCGACGACGACGACGACGACGACGACGACGACGACGACGACGACGACGACGACGACGACGACGACGAGTCAAACGGAGCAGCCTCTTCCACACGCCGACAGGGTCGGCGGATTGTTTTAATATTTTTTTGCTCGGCCTAGCAGCATTTTTCCGCAACCAGAGCTTGCCTCTGTAGGGGTCCTAGCGGATTCGTATGGTTAGGTGTGGTGGGCCGCCGATTTCGGTGGCCGGCCCGGGTGCCCCGGCGCCTGGGTGCCCGGGTACACGTGCCGGGGGTGCCGGGGGTGCCGGGGGTGCCGGGGGTGCCAGGGGTGCCCGGGTGCCCGGGTGCCCGGGGGTGCCTGGAGGTGCCTGCAGGGGTGCCCGGAGGTGCCCAGGGGTGCCCGGGTGCCCTATCGCCCTATAGCCTTATAGCCCTATGGCCCTACAGCCCAAGAGCCCTACAGCCCTATAGCCTTATAGTTCAATAGCCCTATATAGCCTTATAGCCCTATAACCCAATAGCCCTACAGCCCTATAGCCCTATAGCAATATGGTCCTGTAGCCCCATAGCCCCATAGCCCTATAGCCATACACATATTATGATTTGGTTTGTCTCGGGTATCATGGAAGAAAGGTTTGGGTAAGACGTCATACCATAAGAGGAGGATGGAGGAGGAGGATGAGCAGGAGGAGGAGGAGGGTGGATGAAGGAGGAGGAATAGGTGGATGAGGAAGAGGAGGAGGAGGATGAGGAGGAGGAGGAGGAGGGCGAGCAGAAAGATGTGTCTCTGAGTCTCTCCGGATGTCTTTCGAGGGCTTCTTGGAGTCCTCTTCGGGCGTCTTGGGGATTTCTTGGTAGTCCTGGGGGCCTCTTGGTGCGTTTTGGGTGCCTCTGGGGGGCCTCTTGGGGGTCTCTTGGGAGCCTCTTGGTGGCATCTTTGGGGCCTCTAGCGGGCCTATTGGGGCCTCCTGGGCAGGAGCCGTCTTGGGGCACCCGCGGGAGCCTCGGGTGCCATCTTGGGGCTATTTTGGAGGAGATGGATCAGAGGAGGGGCAACGTGTGGCCGCAACCTCCCTGTGGTGCTTGACGGCATGTTGCGGCACCACAGGCGCACCCTGGTGTGGCGTGACCGGCGCGACGAACCCCCCCCCCCCGGTCACGCGCGTGACCGGCCCGAATAAACGAACGGGCTCCTACGATTCCGGGATTCCGGGACCCGTTCTCATCGCTCTGATTAGGGCTTCGACCCGATTCCTGCTTCTGAGCGGTCCTCCGTGCGGGTCTGTGTGTGTGTGAGGGCGGGCGGGGGTGGGAGTCATCCTAGATCCACGGCGGCAGGATCCTGTCTGTGCACATCCCGCCATTTCTGTGCGCATGGTCGCTTGCCGTGCCTCTCTTCGACCCCCCTCTAAAACTTCCCCCCTGCCTATGAGCCTTGGCGGGAGGACATGCGTATCTCGCCGGAGTCTTGGAAGGATCGGCCCGCACGATACTCTCTCTCGCGATGGGCGGAAGCAATGTAGCATTTATCTCAGCACGTTGCGCTATATTCAGCGTGATGGGAAGCAGATGTGGCTTTGGGCACAAGGTAGTTTCGATTGCTGGTCGCATTGCGTCTTGAGGTGTGGGCGAATCAGGGCATGACGCTTCTCTGGCTAGATGACTTCTACGCTGCACACGTGGCGGGCAGTACAGTGCATGCAGCCAAGACGCCGAAATAGGGAGCAGTTCGGGTTCGGAAGGGATTCGCTGTTCCTTAGGTTCTTCCATGCTTGTTCCTCCAGCGCTCCTCGTTCATCCAAGCGCTTATGGTGCCCAAATGGGGCTTTGTCTTTTTATGCAGTTTTCCTTGTGGTAGTAACTTGACCGTACCTCACGAGGACAGTTGTATCTCTTCGGCACTCGACCTGAAAGCACGATCGATCAAACCACCCTTGCTCCGCGTTCGAGCGCGAGCCGGAGTGGTACGGCTGTGTGCCAATTGGGCCATACTCTGCCCGACACGAGTTGCCCGTAGGGGGGCGTGTCTTCACAGCTCTTTTCTAGCAGAACTGATCCATCCGCTTGGGCACGGCGCTCATCCCAAGTTTTTACGGCTCTTTCTTCCGCCTGTGGTCCCGAGAGCGTCCACCGCCGAACAAGGAACATAGAGACGGAGGGAGAAAGGGAGGCTGGGGAAGTGCGGAGGGAGGGGGGGAAGGAGGGGGGGCGGGAGGGATGGAGGCAGCATGTGAGCCTTTCGGAACGAGCGCGCTGCGGAGCGCGCTGGTTCGAATACGAGTGGAAGTCCTCTCGTGCCCTTGCGCCGAGGCTCCCTTTCCCTCCTCTCAAGAGAAGGAGCTCGACGAGGACGGCAATGGCTACGTGAACTTCTCTGAGTTTGCGGAGTGGGCGGGTCCTCGCTTAGGCGGGCGGGAGTCGGGCGGCAACGACGGCGCAGCGAGGGACAAGGGGACAGATGCTGATGGGCTTGTTTTCCACCACCACCACCATACGTTGGAGGGGGGAAGGAGGTGGAGGACGAGGAGGAGAAGGACGAGGAGGAGAAGGAGGAGGTGGAGGAGGAGTAGGAGGACCCCCTCCCCCTCCAACTTATCGTGGTGGTAGTGGCAAACAGGCCCATCAGGTGTGCAGAGTCCAACGTATCCTGTCACCCGCCCAGGTGAGTTCCAGGGCAAAGAGGGGAGCATCTCAAGCCAACCATGATCCTAGACCCGCGATCTTCGACCACGGTCACTACCACGGGGACGACCACGATGGCGACCATGACCACGACCACGACGACGACGACCACGACCACGACCACGACCATGAACACGACCACGATCACGACCACGACGACGACCACGACCACGACCACGACCACGACCACGACCACGACCACGACCTCGACCATGACGACGACCACGACTACGACCACGACCACGACCACGACGACGACCACGACGACGACGATGACGTACACGTGCGCGATCAGTTTTTGTTGGCCTGCACTTGAGCGCGGTCGCTCGTGCACGCGGGACCGCGAGGGGCGCACACGTGCACATGTCGCTGCTCGCCCAGAGTATCGAGGGTTCCGTGTTTTGTTGTTTGACAAGCGAGCCGATGGGCCGAATGCCGAGAACGCAGCAATCATCTTCGCAGTTGCGCGACTCTCTGAGCCCCTGCTGGGTCACCAGCAAGGCGCGCACATCCAGGCCCTGGCCAAAACGAGCCAGCAGCTCATGCTCACTCCACTTCGCCCTCAGGGCCTTCGTTTGCAACGTGCGGCATCGATGGCTCATTCCTCTCCCCCCTCCTTCGTCTCCTCCTCCCGGGCCCTCCATGTACTTCCTTCGCTTTCCCTCCGAGCGCCGCGCTTGGTGGAAGCACTCTCGCAACCTCTCGCCGCATCCTCTCGGAGACTTCCCGTTCCCATTCTCACCGGGATCTGCAGCCGGCGGGGGTGGCGTCATGTCTTTCCGCGATGGGGCGTTCGAGGACGGCTTCCAGCTGGAGCTGCCGCGATGGTCCACGGCTGGGCTCAAGGCACGACTGATAGACGAGGGAAGGCGCAACGCGAACGAAACTCCATACTGGGTGTGATTGCGGCATTCGGTGAGGACCTCTACATTGTTCATTTCTAATTCTTCGAAAGTTCTTAGATCTTCCTGGGGGCCAAGATCCTCTCATGTCTAATTGTTCTATCCTGGGCCTCTTCCTGGCCACCAGGGGGCCAGGAACAATTAGAACCGGGCACAATTCGAAATGAGCACGATTAGAAATGAACGACGTGTACCATGACAGCGCCGGCAGAAACTTTGCCGGCAACCGGTGCCAACATCGAGACGACCACCACGACGCAGCCCCGCGACTTGCGCGTCCTGAGCTGGGGAGAGCCTTGCGCCATCTGCGGTCCGACAGAGCTGCCGACCACCTCTGCTGAGGTCGCAGAAAACATGTTGAAATCAGGAGGGGATGTGCTTCGATCCGTGCTTCTCGACATACACAACGACATCATATCACTGGGTTCTGCAACACCAATCAGCTGGCGACATATAGTATTCAGTGCTCTTTCTAAACATGGAGATCCCCCCAAAAGCGAAGGCCTACCGACCGATTTGCAAGCATCCCGATGTGGTACAACTTCTCCTCGCGGCTTCTCTACAACCGACTACACGCGCTGACCAAGCAGGCTAGCAACCCCAATGCAGCACTACATGCAATTTTTCACTGAAGCATTGCTGTAGGAAGTAGCGGACGAGCGACAGCTCCCCATGTGGCTAACCTCCGTCGATTCCAAGTACGCGTTCGACAACATTACGCACCCGAGCATTATTTGCAACAAAACGTACGCGGTCAGTATATCAAATCTTTTCCCAAATTGTACAATGCCCAGACCGCGTCCGTTCACACAGACCGCTTACACAGACCGGTCTACGGGGGACGAAGCAAGGAGAAACCCTAAGTTCATTACACTTCAGCGGCGCATTGAATCGCATCACGAGACGAACAAAGGCAATATGCACACGAAGCAATTACGGTTGCAGTTTACACTCGCGCACGGAAAACAGAGTGACCAGTCTACGTTTCGCTGGTGATATCTCCCTTCTTGTTGGATCGCTAAGTCACCTCACTAAAATGCTTTCCGACTTGACAGCCGAAGCGGGCAAGGCGGTCTTCTGATTACACCTGGGCATAACATACATTATGCACAGCGGCAGTCGACGACCATGCAGGAAACATGCACCCGACTGTGTGAATGTGCATGGCATGATGATCGAGGTTATGCCACTTCCCCACGCTGAGAAATACCTCAGACGACAAGTGTAGCACAGCTCATCCCACACAGCCGAAATAGAACATCGCATCGCCACAACATGGCGGAGGTTCCACGCACTCAATCACGAACTGAGTGGAACAGACCGTCTTCGCCTTCTCAATCGAAGCATCCCACCTACCATTTTCTAGTGTTGCGAGGCGTAGACACTTACGACTCGTTTTCGCAGAATTGACTCCAGCACGAGCGCCAGCAGATGTTTGGCACGATTGTGAAAATTGCCGAAGCGGCTCTACCGTCGCCAGTATCCAACCAACACAGCTGAGGCAAGTACCAGCACCTACGACCGACACGATGCCGCCTGCCAGCACTGCGACCACGACGACGGACGCGACATAGACAGCGTGCCAGGCATTGTTCACGGGGGTGGAAGCCCAACAGGTAATAAAAGGGTAAAACGAGCCACTCGCAGGGCAGAAGCGGCAATGGAAAGGCTACACATCACATACTGGATTTACAAATGCGAGTGACGCACAGATATCGGTGCGTCACGAACAAGGATCTCATCGCATCATTTGCGCATCGTCTTTCAGTGGTGTGCCGCGCAGGTGGGAATTGGGAATGCATTTGGGCAGTCCGACATCCTCGCTAAACTTGAGTGTGGTGCTCTGGCATGCTGTGGCCCGTACCACATTTACACTGCCGTCGTTGGCTTCCAGACCAGGAATATGTTCTAACATGTGTATGGGAGTAGGGCTGAGGAGCTGTTTCAATCGCCGTGCCTCTGCTGTCGCTGGGTGCCACGATCATCTGAAGTTGTGCTTCTACTTATATACCTGAGTTACTGCACCGGGCCCGTACGTCCCAGATCTGGGGCAACTAGTTCCATCATCGCTATGGCCCCCGAATTTGGACATCCCCCCTGCGATATTCAAGGGCGCCCTCGAGGGCGCGAAGTTATTCGCGCTTCGCGCTTCGCGGTTCGGCTCCGATTCCTCCTCATCTTCCTCTTCTCCCCTGGGAGGCGGCGCGAGAGCGCGAAGTTATTCGCGCTTCGCGCTTCGCGCAGCGCGAAGCGCGAAGTTGGGAGCCCTTGGATATAGTAGTGAGAGGTTGCCCAAGCGATGGGGGTGGGGGACACTGCACCCACGGCCGAAGCCCGCTGCTGGCGCCGATCGTTCCAACTTTGAGCGCCCCGCCCCTCGCAAATACAAGGGCGCCCTCGAGGGCGCGAAGTTATTCGCGCTTCGCGCTTCGCGGTTCGGCTCCGATTCCTCCTCGTCCTCCTCTTCTCCCCTGGGAGACGGCGCGAGAGCGCGAAGTTATTCGCACTTCGCGCTTCGCGCAGCGCGAAGCGCGAAGTTGGGAGCCCTAGCAAATATTTCTCGAGTAAGTCTCGCCCGTTCGCGCAGCCCCGGCGCTCGTTGCTGCGAGTTGTACTTCCGAAGCCAGACGGAACCCCACTCCCACTCGGATGAGCTTCGACGGCCTTCGCAGTCGCGTGCGTCGTCTGCACAGGGAGGAGGCGGGGTTCTTTTGGGTCGCCCTGAGGCGCGACTGGCTTTCCCCCGGCCCTCGCCTGGGCTCCCACGCGCCCCGCCCCCGGGGCCTCTTGATTGATGTCCCACCTGGGCTCCCTGGGCCTCCGGGGCAGACTTCCCTGCGAGGTGGACGAGGGAAGCAGCACGGTTGCGGAAAGCCAGCCCGAACCAGATGGCGCGTGCCCGGCGCTGAAGATATCGGCGCGACCGGAGTCGCCACGAGGGTCGTTGGTCAAAGCATGTGCTCGCGAGCATCCACCGCTTTGGTGTAAGGGCTCTTCGATGATCGAGGATACAAGAACCCCTAGCCCCAAGGACACAGTGAAGACGTGGCCTCACTGAGGTCCCCGTCTCTCCACTGGGACTGATACATCTCGGCGGTTTGATTCGATACATTTGCAGAAAGACCCCCCCATCCCATCTAGTCGGGCGACGAAATCTATACATATCCACTGCTCCCTGACCATGCCCATCTTGAACCCAGGAGCTGTGTATGCGCCCTCCTGGCCAAGCCAGGAGGGCGTGGCGTATACACCGCTGCGGGGTTGAGGATGGGCCTGGCCTGGGAGCAGTGGATATGTATAGATTTCGTCGCCCTATCTAGGAGGACTCCAGCGATGGCAGCCTGCCCTGCCCCGCGTGCCATCAGAGCGCAGCTCCGGCCTCGGCGCTGGCCACGCAGCTGGCCCAGCACAGCGGCGGCCGCGCCCCCTTCCCGGCTCGGAGCTGTGAGCTCGCGGCGCGGCGCCCCTCTCGCCTGCAGGAGGACACGCCCCTCTGAACTCGAGACCCCTCTTGTGGGGCACCTTTCCGCCCCAGAACCGGTTTGGTTGCTGGCCCCGTGAGGGCCCGAAAGCGGCCGACGAACTGAGCGGAGACAGCGCCCTCTCGCCCCTTGGCGCGGAGCGATGCCCCTGCATTCGGAGGCGACGACGGCGGCGAGACCCAGGAGGGAGCAGCACATTTCAGGCGGGCCTGTCCCTCTACAGGAGAAATATTCCAATATAGTCAACAGAAAGCCTGGGGACGATTCTTCTAGCATTTTTTGACCATGTTTGGATATCCGTAAGGGCTTCGCCCCATGCCGCTGGCCCCCTGTCTCGGATAATGGGAGATGCAAAGGCTAACTCATGAGGTCTGGGCGCCGCCGTGAAGCAGTGTCAGGACCTGTTTGTTTTTCGACCCTGACCCTGCCGAACTGCGTGAGGGGTGCCAGCAAATTTCAGAAATGTGGCAAATCCCTTTGTGTTTTTGGACCCTGACCCCGCCGATCTGCGTGAGGGGTGCCAGCGAATTTCAGAAATGTGGCGAATCTCTTGGTGTTTTTGGACCCTGACCCTGCCGATCTGCGTGAGGGGTTCCGCCAAATTTCAGAAATGTGGCAAATCCCTTTGTGTTTTTGAACCCTGACCCTGCCGATCTGCGTGAGGGGTGCCAGCAAATTTCAGAAATGTGGCGAATCCCTTTGTGTTTGTGGACCCTGCCCCCGCCGATCTGCGTGAGGGGTGCCAGCGAATTTCAGAAATGTGGCGAATCCCTTTGCGTTTGTGGACCCTGACCCCGCCGATCTGCGTGAGGGGTGCCAGCGAATTTCAGAAATGTGGCGAATCCCTTGGTGTTTTTGGACCCTGACCCCGCCGATCTGCGTGAGGGGTGCCAGCAAATTCCAGAAATGTGGCGACTCCCTTTGTGTTTTTGGACCCCGACCCCGCCGATCTGCGTGAGGGGTGCCACCGAATTTCAGACATGTGGCGAATCCCTTTGTGTTTTTGGACCCCGACCCCGCCGATCTGTGTGAGGGGTGCCACCGAATTTCAGAAACGTGGCAAATCCTTCTGTGTTTTGGACCCCGACCCCGCCGATCTGCGTGAGGGGTGCCAGCAAATTTCAGAAATGTGGCGAATTCCTTTGTGTTTTTGGACCCCGACCCCGCCGATCTGCGTGAGGGGTGCCAGCGAATTTCAGAAATGTGGCGAATCTCTTGGTGTTTTTGGACCCTGGCCCCGCCGATCTGCGTGAGGGGTGCCAGCAAATTTCAGAAATGTGGCGAATCCCTTTGCGTTTGTGGACCCTGACCCCGCCGATCTGCGTGAGGGGTGCCAGCGAATTTCAGAAATGTGGCGAATCCCTCTGTGTTTGTGGACCCTGACCCCGCCGATCTGCGTGAGGGGTGCCACCGAATTCCAGAAATGTGGCGACTCCCTTTGTGTTTGTGGGACCCTGACCCCGCCGATCTGCGTGAGGGGTGTGAAATGGCACCCCTCCCAGCCACTCAGAGCACACGCTCCAGGCGTGGTAACAATGTCAGTTCTGGGCCTCGCCCCCTCGCGCGGTCCACCAACAAGGAACAGTAAGCAGCAAGAAGCAAGAATTGTTATCGTTGTTATCGTTGTTATCGTTGTTATCGTTGTTATCGTTGTTATCGTTGTTATCGTTGTTATCATTGTTATCGTTGTTATCGTTATCGTTGAAGCTGCAAAGAAGCAGAAGTGTAACAGAGGAAACTGGAAGCTGCAACTGGTACAGGAAACTGCGAGCCTTCGGCCTGCAGCCTGGTGGCCCCACAAGGGGAGGGGGCCGGCGGATGTTTGAACTATCTTCAACCGTTCGCCCCAAATCCGCCTTTAGGCGGACATGCCCGACCTAACAGTACACGCATCCTGGGGCGCCGACAATCTCCGTCTTCGGCGAGGCCCCCCCCCGACGAATGCGCAAAAGGCCCGCCCCCGGACTATTGGGAGTGTTTCTGTTTACCTTCGGGACCATAGCGCGCGTTATGTCCCCTACCCTCTCCCCCCCTCCCCCCGCCCAATAAAGTAAGGCTCTCCCCCTCGGTGCGTCCCAGGCACCGCCGCAGTGCCTCGGGAACCACAGTCTGGGGTGGGGGTGGGGGTGGCGCTATGCTATCCTTCCTCCCGCCCCCCCCCACCTCCCCCTCCCCCCCGTTGTGGCCGCCCCCCCCCCCCCGTTGTGGCCGCCACGAATTAAAGAATGGCCGCCCCCACCTGTTGTGGCCGCCCACATTCCCCCCCCCCGTTGTGGCCGCGAATCATAGAATGGCCGCCCCCCCGTTGTGGCCCCCCGTTTTAACGGGCTGTCGGGGGCGCCTGTCCCAGGGCGGCTGGAAAGTTTATACCCTTACGGTGGCACCGTAGGGGTATAAACTTTCCAGCCGCCTAGGGACAGGCGCCCCCGACAGCGAAAAAGTTTATTCTATACCGTTCTTCGCTCGCTGGCCGTTAACGGCTTTCTGCATTATCATTCCTCCCGCCCCCCCCCGTTGTGGCCGCGAGTTGCAGCAGGCGCTCCCGCCGCCTCGGGGCGGTGCTGCCCGCTTCGGCGCCGGCCACCCTCCGGCTCGGGAGCAGGCGCTGGTAGGTCGGGCGTGTCCCTCTAATTACAGGAGGGATGTTCAAACATAGTCCACGAATAGTCTGGGGACGATGTTTGGAGGATTTTTGTGGGCATGTTTGAACATTTGTTGCACGAGGAGGACGCGCCCGACCTAAAGGTGGTGCCCTCGAGCTGGGGACGATGTTGGGAGTATTTTTTTTGCATGTTTGAGCATGTGTTGCACGAGGGGGACGCGCCCGACCTAAAGGTGGTGCCCTCGAGCCCGGCGCCAGAGGTGTGTGCGCTCCTGGCTCTCGCCCCCGCTCCTCGAGGCCGGGCGCGTGCACCTTTTCCTTCGGCGAGCACCACCGAGAAGCATCCTGGACCATCCCCCTTTTCCTTCGGCGAGCACCACCGAGAAGCATCCCCCTCCTCCCCCTCCTCCTCCTCTCCTCCTCCTCCTCCTCCTCCTCCTCTTCCTCCTCCTCCTCCTCAGCGAGCACCCCCGAGGAGCATCCTGGACCATCTTCCGAGGCGGGAAGTTATACATGACCACCGCCTGGAGGGTAAGTTTTCGGAGCCTCGGCAGGCGGTGGATATGGACGTATTCGGGCCCCCGGGGGCCGAAATATATCCACATCCGCCGCCGGCAGGGGCACCAGGACGTCGGTTCCCAGGCTGTGGATACGGATGAATCCCCGCATCGCACATATTTCAACATCAGCACGCACGGAATCGAAGAATGCACGGGGAATGGACGTCCGAGCGATGGCGAGTGCCCTCCCCTCACTTCCGGGGTAGCCTTAGGGGGTGAGATGCCCAGGTGGGGGGTCCAGAAATTCCTCCAATGCTTTCGGGTCCCGGAGCGTTTCAGAGAGGGGTGCCGGGATCTTCCCGAACGGTCGCCGCAGATCGGGTGTTGCTAGAAGTACCCCTGGCCCAAGGTACCCCCAGGATTCTCGGGGTGGCCCAGGCAGCCTCCAGGGCACCCCTCACGAGGCCCAGAGGACCCCAGGGGCTCCAAATTGGAGCGAAAAGCTGAGGGCACCTTGGGCCAGGGCACTTCTAGCAACACCCGAGCAGACTCGAGCCCTGACCCGAAGGCCAGGTGAGGAGGATGACTTGGGGAGAAAGGCTCATGGGGTAGACGCATCGACCGCCAAACGCCCATGGATCGCCGATTTGGGGCCCGGTAGCGCTCCCCGCCCTGGAGCGTGCGGCTTTGCCATCGGGGGCCTATCGCCGATCTCCTGGCGATGCCTCGCCGACTTCAGCTCGATGCTTCCCCCCTGAGCCAGGCCCCCCCTCGCGTTCCCCCCGAAACGATGCTCGGGCCAGGCCTCCCGCTTGGCGTGGGCCACCTGTTCGGCAACAACAACAGCCGCAGCCAGAGTGGCCTGACGGTGCGATGGGGATGGGAAGAGGTTGGCAGACTTCTTGCATCGTCGCCCCATCTCCTTCCGCTCCACCACCTGCGCTGCTCCCATCCTCATCGGCGCTTCCTCCAGCATCTTGTCCGTCAGGCCTGGGGTCGAGATACATCGCTCCAGACCGTTCCGACAAAGTATCGGAGCGTTCCTGAGCGCTCTTGAACGGCCGCGGCGCCCGATACACCTTCCAGACCCGTCGTCGCTTCCTCCTCATGTTCCTCCTCCTCCTCCTCCTCCTCCCTTACCGATTTTCCTGATACAAAACTCCTCCTCCTCCTCCTCCTCCTCCTCCTCCTCCTCCTCCTCCTCCTCCTCCTCCTTCATCCATTTTCCTCAAGAAAACTCCCTGTCGCACCCCCAGTCGTGCCGGCAGGGCGGGCCAGGCGTTTCGCCTGAGACTTCCCCCACCACGTCGTAGCGCCGCACACATGTTTTTTTAAGTCTGCAGCAGTTAAAGGATGGAGGGCGGGTGGTTTTCAAAAGGTGGCTCTCGCCGTAGTGCCACGAACATTCGTGTTCATGTATTGCAGCAGTTTCAAGGATTCGTAGGGTCGAAGTTCCAACACTTAGTGTTCTGGCACGATTCAATATTGTTGCGACGCAGCAGTCGCGTTGTTTCGCGGTGTTGATGTCCCAAGGATGACGTTTTGGCAGGAATTCTGCATTTTGGCGCGATTGCGAATTATCAGGCGGTTGTCTTCTAATGTTCCACTTCCAGCAATGAAAGAGTAGGTACTTATAGAGAGGGAACTTGGAAGGACGGTTTATTGCAACATCGTTGATGCGCCTTGGTTTTACACAGGCCGTTATCCTCCTTCTCCCGCCTTCTCCTCTCTTTGCTCAGTGCCTCGCTGTGGTTTGTGAGCCTAGGTGGCGTCGCTGGCCCCTGCTGGAGGATGCGAGTCGCCACGGGGGAGGGAGGCGAGGGAGGAATCTTGTCCCACTGGTGCTCCAGTTTAGGAGAAGGAAGGATGACATAAACAGAACAACTCTGACCTCCGAGTTTTTATGTTCTTGTCCTTGTTCGTTCCCCTGCGGTTGTCTACTCCTCCGCACGGCCGCGCGGGCGGTCGGCCAGGGCTCCTGCTGCGGGATCATGAACTGCCCCTGCAAGGAGCGGGCCTGGGCTCCCTTGGCCGGCCCGTCGGGAGGAGCAGCGTCGGGGAGGTGCCCCCCTCCTCCTCCCCCTCCTCCTCCTCCTCCTCCTCCTCCTCCTCCTTCTCCTCCCACTCCTCTTTCTCCTCCTCCTCCTCTTCCTCCTCCTCTTCCTCCTTCTCCTCCTCCTCCTTTTCCTCCTCTCCTCCTCGTCCTCCTCCTCCTCCTCCTCCTCTCCTCCTCCTCCTCCTCCTCCTCCTCCTCCTCCTCCTCCTCCTCCTCCCCCTCACCCCCTCCTCCTCCTCCTCCTCCTCCTCCTCCTCCTCCTCCTCCTCCTCCTCCTCTTCCCCGCTCCTCCCCTCTCCTCTTGCTCCCCAGCGCTCTGTTATGCTCTCGCAGCCGCGGTTTTTCAATCTGCGAAAGTTGGCATGCCCGTTTCAGTGTCGCCTGCATTTGGGAGACCTTCGACCTCTCAGCGGTTACCTCGCTCCCTTGCCCTTGACCAGAGTTTCCCTGTTGGCAGCGGCACTCCTCCGTTTCCTTCTCATCCTTCTCCTTCACATTTCTTCTTTTCACGTTTCCCCCTTCAGGAGGACGGCTCTCCATCTTCCTCTCCTTTCCTCGCCCCCTCCTATTCGTCCTGCCGTGATGAAAGAGCTGTAATTGCTTTGCTGTTCGGGCCTCAGGGATGTTTACACAACGGCTGTGTTAGGTTTCTCAATTCATGGTGACAGGCCCAGGTCGCACCTGGCAGTCTGGTTGTGCAGGCGCTATTTGTTGCTGTGGTACTGTGCGCGGTGACAGACGGTTTTCCCCTCCAGGAAGACGAGGAGCAGCATATGGAGGAGGAGGAGGTTGATGAGGAGGATGATAAATAATGATTGGAGGGAAGGTCGCTGTGGTTCCACACTGAGCCCATCAGTCGAGCCATCGACATGATTCAGCCATGGTCGCGATACATTGGTTGTTGCTTACTACAGACGCTTCGCGTTCACCGCCCGCCCAATCCAGTTATCATTGGAAAAGGCGCAGACGGCGCCAATACTAGTGTCAATTTTCCGAAAATAGTGAAAGACTCCCCCACGCGTGTGTTTTGTATTTCTTCCTGCGTTACATTTTTGCTCTATCTCATCTCAGGTCGGGCTCAGGTATGATGGTGAATTGGTCGATTAGTCGTCGGCCCGTCATCATTACCAACGAGAGAGCGCGTTTCACGGGCGCTTTTTGGGGAACATTCGGCGGCGCGTTTCGAACCAGGAGGTGGCCCCCCCCCAACACTCGGCACCGTCGATCAAAACCAGGGGGACTCCCCTCCCCCCCAGCCCCCCGCCCTCCCGACCCCCCCCCCTCCCAAGGGTGGGTGGGGTGGGGTTCAAAACTGCCCCCCCCCCCTTTCGGCGCCGGCGCCGGCGCCAGCGCTGGCGGCCGCCAGCAGCGCCGACGGTGGGGACGCAGCGACGATGACCAGAGGCAGCCCAAGGGGGGTGTGTTTCAACCCCCGCCCGCCTCTCCCCCTGGCGCCGGCGCCGGCGCCGGCTCTGGCGGCGGCCAGCAGCGCCAACGCTGGCGCCGGCTACAGCGGGGACGCAGCGACGATTACCACCACTACCACCACCACCACTACCACCACCACCACCGCTTCATCAACCCATCCCCACAACCACCAACCCACCACACAACCACCACCACCACCACCACCACAGCCACGACCACCACAACCACCACCACCACAACTCACCATCACCACCACCCCCACAAAAAGCCACCACAACTACCACCACCACCACAGTCTACCACACCACCACCACCGCCACAACCACCACCAGTACCAGCAGCACAACCACCAACCCACCACAAACCACCACACCACCACCACCTCCGCCACCACCACCATCAGCACCACCTCCACAAACGACAGCCACCGCCTCAACCCACCACCACCACCACCACAAACCACCACCACAAACCACCACCAGACCACCACCAAACCACCACCACCACAACCCACCACCACCACCACCACAAAGCACCACCACCCCACCACCAAACCACCACCACCACCACCCACCACCACAACCACCACTGCCACACCACATCACCACACCATCACCACCACAACCACCACACCGCCACCACCACCACCACAACCCACCACCACCAGCACCGTCGTCCTCGTCGACGCTCCCCGCCGCCGCCGCCCGCCGCCGCAGGCGCCGGCGCCAGCCCAGAAGGAACTTGTCATCCCCGCCGCCGCCGCCAGCCGCCGCCGACGCTGGCGCAGGCCCGAGGTGAGGGAGAGAGAAGAAGTGGGGAGGAAGGGGGGGGGTCCGGTTCCCCCCCCCCCCTTGCAAGCGACCACAGAACGCGCTCTTTCTTACCAGCGGATCCGTGGTATGCACGCTGGGTCTCTGCGACCCGTATTCCTTATCCACATCAGGAAGCCAAAGATAGCCTGAACATTGCCCGAGACCAGCCACAGACGATCCGAAACCGGCCCACAAGGCGCCGTTGAGGGCCGAAAAGGGCTTCGAGAAGTGCCCAACAAGAGGCCAAGAAGGGCACGAGGCGGCCCACAGGAGCCTCCTGGACGGCCCACGCGAGAGCACCTCCGCATACCCGCCCGAATGCCATCGGAAACCCTGCTGGTTCGGGGGCGGGTTTGGGCTTCGTTTTGGGGCTGGGCCCAGCATCATCCAAAACTGACCCCAGAGCGCGCCCAAAATCGCAGTCGACATTTGCATTTTGAGCAATGCCCCAGACGAGCCCGAAAGGTGGCTGTTAGAGGCGTCCAGGCGTTTTGAAACCCCGAGTTTGTAGGCGAAGTGGGGCCCACGAGGCGCCTGTTGAGAGCCCCGGGAGCGAATCTTGGATGCCCAGAAGGGGCCCACAAGGGGCGGGAATGGAGCCAACTTGCGCCTCGAGAGCGTATCGGGAAGGGTCTGAAATTCGAACTCGTCTTGGACGCCGTCCGGAAACCGTCTCAAACCGAAAAAGGGTCTGTGGCGCAGCCGGGCGGCGGACTGGCGGAGGCCACTGCGGGGGGTTCCAAGGGGGGTGGGCTAAAACCCTGCAAAGAACTCTCGCAATCCAGTCTCACACCCCCGGCAGCCGGGCGGGCTGGCGGATGATGGGAAGCGCCTTCTCGGAACGAGAATGTGATTGGAGTTTGGTAGACCACGCTGCGTAAGGAGTTCCTATCGCAGACGCCTGCGGCGAATCACCGCCACCCCTTGCCTTTTGGAAGCGCCTGTGCGGCCAAAAGGGTGGTTGGTGCTCGGCCAAGCTATCGGACCATGTGTTCCCCCAGCCGTCGTTGAAACCCCTCGGGGAGCACTTTTCCGTCGGGGTCCCTCCCCCCCCCCACTCCCCCATTCCGCCTCCTTTTCCCTCCCCCCCCCCTTCCCCCTGACCCTCTCCCTTCCTCCCGTGGAGGGCTCGTGCCCCGGCGTCCCGCTCGTGCCCCGCCCCGGCGCCCGAAGGAGTACAGGGAGAAGGCCCCGGGCATCTGCAGGTGCGGCCACAAGAGGGCGGCCCACCACAGCGCGGGGTCCCACACCAGCCAGGCGCGCAGTGGGCGGGGCGGTCGGGGGGGTGGAGAGCGAGGAGGGGAGCCCGGCGGGGGCACGGGCAAGAGCGGCTCGGAGCTGGGATGGGGTGGGGGAGAAGGTTCTGGGGAGGGGGGTGGTGGCGGGGATGTTGGCGAGGGGAGGCTGATGGTGAAGAGGGCGATGGTGAAGATGATGGCGAGGAGACTGGAGAGCAGGAGGAGGAGGAGGAGGAGGAGGAGGAGGAGGAGGAGGAGGGAAACCTCCGGTTGGGGTCAACGCGCTCAGTCTCGCTCAGATAAAGCAGACGGGATGGAAGGTCCCGTACCCTAGCTATTGGAAGAATGTCGGCAGCACCACAGACTTTGTGGACTTGGTCCCGCTGAGAAATATCAGCGTGTTCCAGGACGGGCTAGCTATTTTCTTCATAGCTTTTTGTCCTCGCCGCTCCTGTTTCTCCTGCGCCTTCTCCTCCAGTTGCACCTGCATCTTCTCGCACTTATTGTCCTCACCATAGTTGAGCGTTCTTTCTCCCAGTCCACTTTCTGTCCATTTCCCCTTTCTCCTGCACGTCTTCCTCCAGCCTCCGCTGGTCCTCCTCCTCTCCGTCCAACGTTCGAGAAGCATCGCGATGTGGCAATTCGTCAGCAAAGCTGCAAGGTGGGTCGCTGAAGGGACAGACAGTACCCTGCAAGCATGCGGTAGTCGACATGACAGTCGACGGGTGCGATTCGGTGGCCCAGGAGGACAACGATGTATGCGCAGCTCTGTGTGGAGGATCATGCGGAGCATGCGCGTGCGCGTCGGAATCGTTGCAGTGGCTGTGAGCAGCAGCGCTCTGAAGGAGTCCCTGGAAGGCCCTCATGGGTCGGGTCTGGAGCGGTCGTCGAGAGAGGTCTCAGTGTGTTTCGCCGTAGAGCCCAGCCACAGCTCGCCCGTGAGAGACGGGGACGCCGCGTCGGCTGCCCTTGATGCTCGAGAGAACGAACACATGGATTAGGGCACGTGGATGGATTAGCGACGTTCCCGCTTCCATAATACGAAGCCGACGCGCCCCGTCGCCGAATGAGGCAAAAATTGCGTCGTGTTTGGGGGAGGTGCTTTCCACGATCCGTTGATCTGGCGCCCACGCGCAAGATCCACGGATCCGTAGTCCATGTCAGCGTGCGCCCGACTGATGTGCGCGCGTCTCCAGCGCAGCATGGGCTTCATGGCAGTAGCCCATGGCGCCGCCCCCGCTGCGGTGACTGCGGGCCCACCAGCGGTGATCGCCGCGATCGTGGCTCGGTGGACGAGCATTTCGATGACAGTGTCCTTGGGCTGCGTTCGCGAGCCAGAGCGTGCTGAATCCCGGGTACAGTCGGACCGAGGTCTACGATCGAGGTCGGCCTGGGGAGGGCACCCTACATAGTGTTCTTCGTGCGCGTTGGAGGTGTCCGTGCAGCCTGGGGAGGGTGCCCTTAGATCTTCTGTGCGTCTTGGCCAGCCGAGGGTCTCGTGCTCGTGGAGGATGATCGTCTGTCCTAGGTCCGACTGTAGTCTGGTGCGTTGCGCGGTGGGGCACCGCCTTTGGGCTTGCGGCAGGCCCTCCGCCTCACAGCTGCATCTCTTGCCCTGTTTTCGAAGCAGCCCAGCCAGCCACCGGCATGTTCCCACAGCTCGCGACAAGCCCGAAGACATGTCGAAGGGCGTCAAGATCATTTTGGCGTGCTGTTGTGGTCATTACGGCTACTACAGTGGAAACACGCATATTAGCGTCATCTTCAAATCCGGAAGATCATCGCTCCCGTAGAACTACTGACCCGTCTCCTTGGTGCAACTCATGTGAACAATAAAGCAGTACATGATAGGATGGGCGGGTGGTGCGTGCAGGCGAGAGCAACGGTGAGCGGACCGAGACCGTGAGCAATCCGTTGCTGTTTTGGCTCGAGGCGCATCGCATCGTTCTTTCTTTCGCACGCGGCCCGACTTTGCCATGTGGGGAGCGTCCCCACCGCTGTCCCGCTGTCCCGCGAAGCGAGAATCGTTTGCCGGCGGCGAGGGAGGGGGGGGTTCGAACCGGCAGTGACCCCCCCCCTTTTCATGATGGACTGGGGGGGCAGTGGGGTTCGAACCGTGAACCCCCCGGTTTTTGAGGGGAGGGGGGGGGACGGGTTGGGAACGAACCCCCAGTGACCCCGCCGATTTTCCGCACGCGGGCCGGCTTCGCCATGTGGGGCCGAGGAGGAGGAGAAGGAGGAGGAGGAGGAAGAGGAGGAGGAGGAGGAGGAGGAGGAGGAGGAGGAGGAGGAGGAGGAGGAGGAGGGAGGAGGGAGGCGAGCCCGGGCCCCGCCCCATGGGGTCCCGGCCCTGCTGCAAACTATAGGCCCCAGCGGGCCCCGGGCCCTCGCGCACTGTGGCCCTGGCGGGCCCGGGGCCAAGACAACTTCTGGCCCCGGCGGGCCCCGGCCCTGCTGCAAGCTACCCCGGCGGGCCCCATGGCCCATGCGGCCCATGCGCACCGTGGCCCCGGCGGGCCGCGGGCCAAGGCAGATTCTGACCCCGGCGGGCCCCGGGCCTGCTGCAAGCTGTGGCCCGCGGCGGGCCCCATGGCCCAGGCGCACCGCGGCCTCGGCGAGGGTTCGCGGCGGTTCTAGCCCCAAGCTGTTTGCCGCAGTGTGCAGGTCTGGCGGGGCCATGGTCGTGTTTTGGTGTCGTCGTCGAGGCGCGGGGGGCGCAGACCTGCGCGTCGGCACCTTTCATGTGTAATTCGCGGCCGGAATTGGAAATGACCAGCCCATCTCACAGCAGCAACTCTCGCGAAGCATGCCGACAGTCAGTTTCTCGCGAAGTGTGCCGACAGTCGTGTTTTTCAGGCGTGTGTCCGCTTGGCCCCGCGCCTCTTGTACATCCTCCTTGTGGGGGGAGCGGGAGAAGGACGAGGCGAAGGAGGAGGGAGAGAAAGCGCTCCTCGTGGTTTGAGTCGTTTGGGGTTTCTCGTCCTGGTCTGAGTCGTTCGGGCCCTTCTTCCTGGTGTGAGTCGTTCGGGCTCTTCGTGGTGTGAGTCGTTCGGGCTCTTCGTCCTGGTGTGAGTCGTTCGGGCTTCTCGTGGTGTGAGTTGTTCGGGCCCCTCGTCCTGGTGTGAGTCGTTCGGGCCCCTCCTCCTGGTGTGACTCGTTCGGGCTCCTCGTGGTGTGAGTCGTTCGGGGCCTTCGTCGTGGTGTGAGTCGTTCGGGCTCCTCGTGGTGTGAGTCGTTCGGGCGCCTCGTCCTGGTGTGAGTCGTTCGGGCCCCTCCTTCTGGTGTGAGTCGTTCGGGCTCTTCGTGGTGTGAGTCGTTCGGGCCCCTCGTCCTGATGTGAGTCGTTCGGGCTCCTCGTGGGGCCTCTTGGGGGCCTCTTGGAGCCTCGTGGGGCCTCTTGGGGGCCTCTTGGGGGCCTCTTGGGGGCCTCTTGGGGGCCTCTTGGGGGCCTCTTGGGGCGTCGTGGGCCTCTTGGGGGCCTCTTGGGGGCCTCTTGGGGGCCTCTTGGGGCCTCGTGGGGCCTCTTGGGGGCCTCTTGGGGGCCTCTTGGGGGCCTCTTGGGGCCGCTTGGGGGCCTCTGGGGGGCCTCTTGGAGGCCTCTTGGGAGCCTCCTGGGGGCCTCTTGGGGCCATCTTGGGGCCTCTTGCGACCTCCGCAGAAGCGCAAAGGAGAGCTGCCCCCTGAGAAGGACAAAATGAGCCCAAAACCTTAGTAAAATCAATGATTTTGCTATGAGGGAAGAGAAGCGCGGCCCCCTCAGGAGGCCAAAATGGGGCCAAAACCATAGTAAAATCAATGATTTTGGCTTCAAAGAAGAGCAGAGGGGCCAAACTCTGCCCCCCCGTCGGGGCCAGAATCCTCGTGAGGGTCGTCGTTTTTTGCCCCTCCCAGGAGTCGAAAAAGACCCCCTTGAGAACACCCGGGACTCCCTGTCCAGGCCCAGGGGGAGGGGGTAGGGGGAGGGGTAAACCCCTCCCCGAAGGGGAAGAAGGGGGGTTGAGGACAGAGCGGGCTCTCTAAACCACTCACGCCCAAAGGGCTGGTGGGAATAGAATGGACCGGAATCAGTAATGAGTGCTTTGTCTATTCCGCAGTGTTGCCGCGAATGAGGATATGAGATACGAGGACTTGTACTGCGACAGAGGCCCCTTCAATGGAGACTGTTTGTGGCAAGTGTGCACGATAAAGCAGGGACGTGGAGCCGAAAGCCTTTTGGGACCCCACCAACACCAATGCGCGTGCAAGGTTGCTACCACCACAGCGACCCACCGGAAGGTGGACGGAGGATGCCGTGGAGTCCATGTGCACAGCATGCCGAGACAATTGGCGAGCCCCTGCGCCGGGGACAGCACCGCGTGGTCACGATTGGTGGATGGTTACGCTCACCGTGCAAGGAGAACGCGATTTCTGGAGGCGGAGTCGGCGGCGCCCTGGGGCCCACCGCCGGCCCGCACGGACGAATTGGGAGCCGCTTCGCCTCGCCTCGCCCCCTCGTGTGCCGTCGGCGAGAATTCCGAGCTGCGCAGCGCCCTCTCTTGCGAATCGTATGGTTCCTCTTCACCTCGTCGTCGCCCTTCTCCTCCTCCTCCTCCTCCTTCTCCTCATCCTCCTCCTCCTCGTCTTCTTTCCCCTTCGTCTTTCTCCTTCTGCTGCTGCTCCTCCTCCGACTCATAACCCCGCCCTGTCTTCTTTCTTCTCTTTTCGTCCTCGTTTTGCGAGGCAGGTTCCTGTCAGAGGGCAGGGCCTAGCCGGATCCTCCTCCTCCTCCTATTCTCAATTGTTGTTGCTCCTCTGGCCAGTTTTTTTCCTGTCCCCAGTCTCGTGGAGAAGAGGCCGCGCATCTGGCTATGGCTTGCTCGACCGACCCCCGGTCAGCGTTTCTCTCCAGAGCGACGGCCTGGAAACTTGTTGCTGATCCTGCTCTTTGTCGTCTTCCTGCTGCTCCTCCGTCTACGCTTCAGGACCCGTAAAAGTCGGGGGTGGACAGACCTCCTACCCTGACACGTCGATCAGCGAATTGGCAGTTTTCTGTTCGCGAGAGGGCGTCGCGGCCGTCATTTTTGCGGGTCCAGGTCCGTCGGTTTCGGCCCCAGGCCGTTTTCACTAAAGGGTGGTTTACTGAAGGGAGGTTTGTCCACCGCCGAGTCTACGCTTCAGGACCCGTAAATGCAGGCCTGGATCAGGCAGAGGAAGTCCGCGGTGGGTGCCAGGGCCCCTTCTTTCGCACACTCCCCGCAGCTGCCGCTTGAGCGGGTGGTCCGTCTACCACGTTCTCTCCTACTGCGCGACGCTGCTTTCGGCCCTCCCCTGCTTGCCCTCTCCTTCTCAGGGACAACGCTAGGGTGAAATAGCCCGGGGGGGTGAGACATCGACCCCTGATCGCCCATTGGTCACTCCGCCCTGGAACGTCTGGATTCGCTATCGTGGGCCCAGCGCCGTTGTGTCGACGATGTATCGCTGATCCAAGCTCGATGTTCTCCCGTGGGCCAGTCCCCTTCCCCTATCGCTCCCCATCAGCCTCTGCCAGGACCTCTTCGACCACACGCATATCAGAAAGTGGACGCGCGACCGCATAAAGCACACCGGCACCAAAGAGATCCCCAGGCGGTACACCGTCACCAAGGCTCGCACCCCCCCCCCTCCCCATCGACTCACGACGAGAGGTGGCCGCGGAGAGGTGCCATCCAAGAGCGCGCGATGGAACTGTTGCTCTTCGTTGCGGGGTGGCGGCCCCGGCGACACGCCGTGCCCTGCTGGCGGACAGCGTATCGCTCCGCTCCGCGGGGCGGGAGGCTTCGAAAAGCTTGTGGGCGGTGACGCCTGGGGACGGGGAATGGGACGTGGTTAGCGTGTCGCGCCGAAGCGTGGTGACCACATCCGGCGGCGCGACACGCTAAACAAACGTTCTTGATCGCATCTGCACGTTCGCACTACTCCTGGCGTCATGTTGAGCCGGCGACCTCCAGACGCAATTCGTTGTATTTTGCTCTGGCAAGGTACGTCCAGACGTCGCGTTGCGTTTTGGCGCTTCCATTGGGACGTAATGGTGTTGCCGTGTTGCACCTAGGTGTGTGCTGGACGGGCTCAACCAGGGAGCCAGTTTGAGCTCCGCGTGCCACCCGCCCACCGTCAAGTCGGGCGTGCCCCTTTACGGGAGGAATACTATGAAATAGTAAACAAATAGTCAGGGGATGATTTTTCGACTATTTGGGATTCTTTTCGCAATTTGTTTGAATCTTCTTCGTTTTTCCTCCCGAGATCGGTCCGCAGGGGGACATGCCCGACCTAAGTCCACCGCGGCGCGCACTCGGCACAGCTGCTCGTGCCAGCCCGCTGCCGCAGGGCCCTCGGTATATACAATGGCCCGAGAGGCGGCCCCTCGCCGGGCCACGGCAGCGTCGGCCCTGCGCTGCCGCGCGCACCTGCACTGCGCTCGGGCGGGCGCCGGGGGGGAGGGAGGAGGGAGGAGGAGGAGGGAGGGAGGGAGGGAGGATGAGGGAGGGAGGGAGGGATGGATGGAGGGAGGGAGAGGGAGGAGGGAGGGGAGGAGGGAGGAAGGAGGGGGAGGGAGAGGAGGCAGGGAGGAGGGAGGGGGAGGGAGGGAGGAGGGAGGGAGGAGGGGGGATTGAGGTGGGGGGCTCGGCTGCGCGCGAGAGTGGCCCTTTGGCGGAGTGACCTTTGGTGCGGGCCCAAAGGGGTCCCCTTGGCACTGGCGTGCGCGCTCGGGAGCGTGCGGATTCGATATCCAGGGCCTATCGCCGATCTTTTCGGCGATGCATCGCCGATTCCAGCTCGATGTATCGCCCCCTGAGCCGGTCCCCCCTATCGTGCCCCCTCAGTGCTGCCAATCGCGCAACTCTCCCCACTTTCTTGCGACCCTGGGACGTCCAGCAGGACTACGTCGTGCGCAGATGGGAGCCCACTCGGGACCCTTGGGTGTTGCCAAACGCATGACCGTCCTCGCCTTCCCTGGGGCCACGGGGTCTCCAGCGGAGTGGCGTCTCACGCAGTTGCGATCACTCTCACTTCTCTGGGTGATTTGTTTTCAGGCGCAGAAAGCTCACCTTATTTCCTGCAGCTCTGGATTCGGGGAGGATCCAGCGGAGTGTCATGTATGATCTGGCCCACGCAGACACTGCACCATCGCTGTATACATTCGTTCATACTCGATTCCATGTTATGCGATCGCCCATTATTTCGGCTTGCCTCGACTGGCTTTGACTTGATCAGTCGTTGCTTGTATGGAATGGTCACGCAGCAATCCACGCCATTTGCATCTCCTCTTTGCCATGTGGCTCACTTCCCCGTCTCCCTCCGTGCAGTCCGCATTGTCTCACCCCCTCTCTCTCCCTCTCCCCGGGGCTTCCAGAGGCCCTGGTTCCTTTTGGCAGTTGCCCTCGGCCTCCGGCCCCGCGCACAGTCCAGTTGGCGACCAGCATGTGCTCTCAGACGCTCGGAGGGATTGAAGGATGGCCCAGCACTGGTTTCTCATGGTCGCACCGTGCATGTTACGCGTGTGACCTCAGCCGCGCCAGAAGGTGTGGAGAGTAGAGAACAGCAAGACGTGGCGGGAGTATTGCGTGAAGAAGGCTCTCATGATGCAGGCGAGGCAGGGCGACGCGAAGGACGGCTCTGCCCAAATCTGGAGCGATCGCCGTCTGATCCGGCCTGGCCTCGTGAATTCACTCGGATGCGCCAACGATCTCTTGCCGTCCAGGACTACGAGATTTTCAACGACGTGAAGTCCTCACTGGCATGGGTAGCGAGCTCACCAGACCTGGGAGACCAGTCGCTTGAGGAAAGCGTCGCAGCCTCAGCGATTCCACATGTCCAATTGACCGTCTCCATTCTTGTGCGCACCTTTCGTTCCCTCTTGACGATATCGAGGATGCCTACGGCGAGTCACCGCCGCTTCCTGCCACCCGCGCAAGCCCCGAATTTGTTGTTCGTCACACGTGCGGACTCTGACAGTTACCCTGGCCGTCTCACAGCGCTTGCCAAGCAGGCCAGAGCAGCACGCGCATCCGCGGACCCACCGTGCAGGCGTGGGTTTTGACAGTTAGAAAACTGCGCATTTAGCCATGCGCTTTCCAAACCAAGCTTGGCTGGTGACCTGAGCCGCTCTAACTGTAAATAATCGCAGTCCAGGCTGTCCGTTCCTGCCGTTTACTTGTTTTAGCAGCTTGGACAGGTTAGAGCAGATCACCCACGTTGGCAGGACATTTTTCTAGCGGCACTCCAGGGTTAGTGTGTTCACGACCGGGTAGCCAAACGCATGGCACTTGTGGACGATAGTCGATATAAAACTCGTTCAGCTGTAGTTGCATTCTGGTCTGCCCAGGCAAAGTCGGGGCGACTGGGGAGATACAGCATCCGTCAGCATCTCAAAATTGACTCCGACAATTGTACCAACCTGCTTGAAGTCAACTCCTTGAGGACCCTTCTTGGGCCCTTTTTGGGGGATCACCGTCGCAGGGAAGGTGGAAGGTCAGGGCCTCAAAGGTCCGGGCTTGTGGTTCATGCGACGCTTTTGCTCTTGCCGCCGCTCCCCCGCCAGCGGGGCCGGCCGCGCCACTCGCTCCGGGTGTGTCCCATCCCCCTGAGCGGCCCCTGCTCCGTCTCTCCTCCTTCGGCCGCACTCCCTGTCTCCTTCCAGCTTCCTCCATAGTGGCACAACTCGCGTCACATTGCTCTTCAAGCTAGGGTTTGCCCGAAACGAGGTCCAGCGACAAGGGGGTGGTGCAATAGATTTGGTGCAATCGATTTGTTGGGTTGCAATACATTTAGGGCGTGCAATACATTCCAGGGCACAAATGTATTGCTGGATTTTCGCGTGCAACACATGACTTGCAATACAATGCAATACAACTGTCCGGCGCAAAACATGTGCAATCACCCCATTTCAGCTGGGCCTGATTTGGGTCACCCAAATCTTCCGCCAGCGCAGTTACTTTGCCTAGCCGCCGACGCAAAAAGGTTTCCGCGGAGCGGTACCCTCCAGGAGTCTTGCGCGTGCTTCTGGCTTGAGGTGCCCGTCCTGCACCGGGTTTCGTGTGCCCTTCCCGTCGGGCGAGTCCTGGTCCTCCTCCTTCTCCTCCCCCTCCTCCTCCTCCTGCTCCTCCTCCTCCTCCTTCTGGTAGGGCCTTACTTACCGACACTGCTAGGCGAAACTCCAACCGACGGTTTCCCCTGCTACTCGGGGGGACACACACACTCACCGCCAAATGGCGTTGGATTTTTTGTAATAGAGCCACAACGCATCAACATTGATATGGCAACATAATGTAATAGTAGCATAATATCATCTGCAACAGCAATGCACACACTCATTATGACGTCGCCTTCGTTCACGTCCCCCCAAACAAAACCACGCATCAATAACATTTGCAGGAGTTGCGTTGCACGTGTGAGATACGCAAGAGAGGCGTCGTTTGAAGGTCCTCGCATTGATTGCAATGCGTTGCGAATGTATCTTGGGGGCCTTCCGTGTCTGCACCTCCAACGTTTTCTTCCGTTTCCATAGCCATTTTGGTTTCAGCATGGACGTCGATTCTGTGCACGAGGAACCGCCACAAGCGCCCATTGCGGCCGACAGTGATTCAATCGATGGGGATCCCGAGAATGCTAGGCGAAATTCCTCACGGTCTGGCCGCCCACGAGGTGAGTTGGACAATTTCGGCACAATCACGTTGTATATGATATGTGCGACTGCGGCTGTGGCAGGTTTCACGGCTGTTGAGCGTTTGCAGTGCCAATGCGATGATCTGGTCTTGACTTCTGTTGGAATAGGTGTGTGGGAAATTCTGTCGGCCAGCGATGTTGCAGACACCATTGGCAAGTTCAACGGCAACGCTAGATTCAAAGATTTCATCGCCGCTTCTTTTCAGCGGCCATCGCGAAACGAATTTGTTGGGGCTGTGGGTTATCAGTTGACGGATGTGGCTTCGCTTGTACATGAATTGCGTTTGCCCCACGGCTGCATTGATCTGTTTAGTTTTGTGTGCGACAAGTTGGTTCACAATCCAATTGATGGTGAAACAGCTTGCTTCAGAGACGTATTGAGCATGTGGTCTGATCTTGTTGCTTATCGTCCGTCTGTATGGACATGCCAGACAGTATACGTTGGAACAGACTTTGCAAAATTGATCGTGCCTGGCTGGCCCTACTTGAAATTAATTCCGCTTTCACCTGGGCTAAGCATCAAACATCATATATTATTGATGGGCCCTGCGATGTCAACCGTCAAAAAACACATGGGTGCAATGCGTGATTTCTCTTCTGCCGTTGTGCGCATAACGACTGGAGATAGTGAGCAAGAACATGTTGTCGGCCCGAGGGGTGCTCGACCTGGATTGGAATCATTCCCAGTGGAAGTCATTATTGATTACCTCGATGCGACGCGATACTTGAAAGGTCTGCGACTGGCTGACAGATGCAAACGGGCCTGGGCTAAAGTTCTTGCTCGGCACGACCAGTCCGCGGGCGACGAGTTGGCCAGGCGAAGCGTGTGCATCAGTTATGACGTTTTGAGGCGTGGACGCTGGAGACTCGATGTTGTCTGTATGTTGTTGTTGCGACGGTGGTTTCAAACCAATATGGGGCTGGCGCATTTTTATCTTTATACTGACGGATCACCCCAATGGAGGGGAGTAGAGCTGTTCGCCACCACCGTTGACTGTGTTGGTAGAATTTCGGGCGAATGGATTTGTTTTCGGTACCTCTTGCCAGTCATCCGCATTGGTGGTCAGCACCTCAGCCTGTACGGAAAGCTGTATGCGTTGCTATGGAAGTTTGTGCTGTGTGTGGGTCCGTCATTTGTATCGCTCAGGCAGATGTCGGCACGGGTCGTATCGGTGACATCGGATATGGGCACTGAGAGGTTGTTCGGCAATGCGAAAGACATCTTGCCAGCATTCTGCAAGCACGTAGGCGTAGCAGTACCGCGAGGCATGCCAACGCAGACACGTTTGTTCCCATATGCAGTGCAAGCGCCAGGTTGGATGCACATCTTCGACACGCTCATTAGGAGGGCTTTGTGTAGCATGGACTGGTTCCCGCGATGGTTGGACGGCATCAAAAGCGTACTCACTTTCTTGCGGCAATACAGCGTTGAGATCGTCAGGAACTTCAGGGAGGCCGGTTTGTCAGCGGTCGCTGAGATCGTGGACGCGTTATCGTTACCATACTTCGCGCAGTGGCGGTGGGGCACGCTCCGCAAAGTGTGCAGATCTCTCAAGGGAGTCATCGGCATATTGCAGAGACATTGGGGGCACATGTCATTCCTCAAGAAAGTCAGGGACACTTCGTTGATCAGGAGGGTTCGACGGGCGATGGATGACCAACGATGGGTGGATCTCTTTTCGTTCACTGCGTGGCTCGTGGAGTGGTTGACTCATTTGCAGTCGTGGGGCGGGAGCTGCATTTGTCACCAGGCCGATTGCGAGCTTGGGAACCCAGTCGACTGCAAGAGAAAGGGCAGACTTCTTCCTTACGCCTACGGTAAGGCGCAATCTTCGTTCCAGGACCGCTCGTGCTGCCGCTGCCACGACGTATGCGATCTCCTTCGCCTTTGTCTTCTCCCCCCCGTTTTCCCGCTTTTGCTTCTCATCATCCTCTGTCCTCGTTCTCTGATTCATCTTTCCCCGCTTTGTGTCCCACGCAGTGCCCGTTCTCATCTTCGCCTGGGGGAGGGGGCAAGGGCATCTAATGTCGTTGACGTCGTGGATGTGTCAATCGACCAGTGTCAGCGTGATCGAAAACAGCGTTTCAAACATCTTTAACGGGGGGGCCGTCGCCAAGGGAACCTCGGAGTAGGTATGCAATCTCGAAGTTTTCCAGGATGTTGTTTCAAATCAGGTTGAGCAGAACTCCGAGGGGTAAGGTTTTTCAAATCAAGCGCCCCCCCCACTCCCTCCATGCGCTGTTTTCGGCATGCGCGAGCAGTCGCGATAGTAGCAGCACGTCCCAGGAGGCATTGAAGGAGGCTGAGGCTTGGACAACGTCCACCTTCGGGGGTGATCAGTCTTTGCTTCAGCAGTGCACGGGATCTGTTCGCATGGTCTGCGCACTCGGGCTCAGGAAGCTCGATTACATGAATACGGTGCCATATTTGTTTTCTCGCCTTGGGGAGCCTGGGGTCAAGGAGTTGGCGCTGAGACAGTTTGAATCGACAGATCGTGCACTTCACCACCCTCTAACCTTGAAGTTCCTGGGCCCCGACTCGCCACTTCGAGATGCAGTGCTAGCGCTGCCGAATACTGGAGGTCCTTTGCCTGATGCTCTGCGTTTGGAAATAGAGGCGATTGCAGATATCCCATTCGATGATCACGTGTCGGAGTTCCCCCATGCAGTTGCCAAACGAGTGTTGGAAGGACCTCGTTGCTCCAGGTGGCCTTGGGTCGCGTCGCCCCTTCGCTTGGGGCAAAACCTGGATATGGTGAACCAGATGGCAGAGCAGACAGGAATCAATTTGCAGAGATGCTGGAACAGCTGGTCATCAGTCATTAACTTTAGGAGGCCAGACCGTCGAGTCAAACAAAAAGTCAGGGCAGTTTTGGATAGAATCTACAGCGTGAACTTGCATCCTGCGTTTGCCAATCAGGGAACCGATGCTGTCGTTGCTGACGATCCCAACGTTTACGACGACCCCGACGCGGACGGCGACGTCGGCAGGCGACCTCCTCCGCCTCCGACTGGATCCATGACTTTAGATGGAGATGAATTCGTTGATGCTGCAACTCTTCGGGACCGAAAGCTCATGGCAGAGTTCGTTCAATCAGTCGTAACCCCGTACAGTTACATCACGGTCCCGAACAAATCTAGCGCTGATGAGGCATGGTATTGTTTCCAAGTGCTGGCAGTGCAAACCAGAGATATTCTCGTCAAGACCATTGCAACGCCAAAGGTCGACACTGTCACTTGGATGATAGCGCCAATGGCAATCCTCCGTGAGGCTGATCTGCCACGGCACGAAGTCCCAACTTCGATCGATGTTTTCCGCGTGGAGGACTCGATGCATTGCAGCCTTTTTGCTCTTTTTGGTAATGATTTGTCAGACAGGCGACATTTCATGCAGTGGAAGGCAGATCAATATACAGTTGACGGTTGCTTACGTTTGATCGAGCCTTCGAAGTTGGCTTGGGCAAAGCCACTGTCAGATGCAAAAATACCAATCGCATGTCTTCTTGATGAGTTGTCGGCCAAAGGTTTCCGCGGGGTGGAGAGGCTGCTTTTCCACGCCAAGAGGGGCAAGAAGGAGTTTGATTCGAGGAAGGTTTTGCCGAAACGGTGTTACCTTCAAGCTGTTTTGTCCCAGGCAGATATTTTCAGGAAGGGCCAACTGAGGTTTCGCAGCGATCAACCCCAATCCTACTATAAGCTTCTCAT